TGATTATGAGCACGCAATCGAGCTTTTGCGCGCGCAAATGCTTCAAGCGCGTGTTCGTGTTCCAGCCGTACTGCGCTTCGAGAGCTGCTAACTTTTGCGTTTCAAACACAGAACACTGTGCTGCACCGTGCTTGAAGCACACAGCTGGAAAGCGGCTAAATTCATTCGACAATAACCTCAGACCAGACGTTCTAAAACAGTGAAAACACCGAACAAAAGAAGTATGCTGGCAATCACACGTCATGCGCAATCGACCTTCACCATTTGAATGAGTGCGAAAAAAACGCAAAACCTCATATTCGGACTTTTTGGTAGTTAAGGTAAACACAAATTCGACTTTATAAAACCTCAGAGGAGTATAAGGATTCAACAACAATTACAAAACCAAAGTTTTATTTGTTTTTTATTTTTTTTTTTTTTTTTTACGGATATGCGCACTCGCAAGGAAATGTCCTATCACGCTCGAGAAGCGGCAAGTGCGCGGAAATGTTGGTTTATGTTGGTCTTGAAACGGTTCAGGTTGTAACCTGCAGGGAAAACCGTCGCAGGGAGTTTATTCCACAGCGATGCTGTTCTCCAGAGATATGAATTCTGATATAATGAGGTTCTTGGTGCCTCTAGTTTGACAGTAAATTCATGGTTACCGTCTGTCTGACGGGTTCGCCTGGTAGAAGCTACTCTCGGTGGAATCATACGTGCCAACTCTTCAGAGCATTTTCCGTGATAGTACCTGTAGAAGAGAGATAAATCGCCCACAGATCTGCGATGTTCGAGACGATCCAAGTTACGAGTAAGTGCGGGGTCATTGATCAGCTTGATAGCTCGTTTTTGCACGGTATTCAAAAGCATTAAGGTATGTTTGGGTGCTGCACTCCATATATGTGAGCAGTACTCCATAGTTGGTCGAATCTGGGCTTTTTAGAGTGTCAGCAATTGGCTTGGTGTGTACAGATGTCTTGTACGAAATAGCACCCCCAGCTTTTGGGAGGCCCTTTTAGCAATATCTGCCACGTGACTGTGCCAAGACATGTTGGTCTCTGCAGTAACCCCCAAGATGTTCAACTGAGTCTGTAATGTGACAGCACTTCCAGATAGCATGATGTTTGGCTCACCGGTGCTGGTCTTTTTTGAAAACAGAGCTGCTGCGCGTTGAACTGTACAAGGTTTTTGTTGCCCCAGTCCTCTATTATCTCCAGGTCGTTATTTATCTGCGATATTTGAGTTAGTCTAAGATGATGGAATTCACGTGCGGAAAGACCTGTGGGTGGTATGAGTGAGGAGTAGACTACATTGCCATCGTCTGCAAAGCAATAAAGTGGATTTACTGTTTTATCATGAGGTCATTTATGTAAATCAGGAAAAGAGTTGGCGAAAGGATTGCTCCCTGTGGCACACCAGCATTTATTTGGTAAGAGTTGGAGTTCTGGCCATCCAGTGCAACATAAATGGATCTGTCCTTTAGGTAACTTTCAAACCAAGTGCAAAGTTTCGGCGATAATCCCATTGCTTTGAGCTTATTGAGCAGATTTTCATGCCAAACTTTGTCGAATGCTTTAGATATATCTAAGGCAATTGTTCTTGTTTCACCCCGCAACTCAATCGCTTTTTGCCATAAGTGAGTGACGTATGTAAGTAAATCGCCAGTTGACCTATATTTTCGAAATCCGTATTGCTTATCGTTGATAATTTTGTACTTTTCCAAGTACTTGGTTAGGTGATTGTTCACAACTCTTTCCATTACTTTTGATATCACCGGAAGTAGAGCAATTGGTCTATAGTTTAACGGATCTGTCTTTTTTCCTTTCTTTGGAATGGGTTGTACTGCGGCAGACTTCCATGATGATGGATATACTCCTTGCCTGTAAGACAAATTGAATAATTTTGCGAAAGTTGGGGTGAGTTCGTTGGCGCAATTTTTGAGTACTATTGCGGGAATGCCAGCCGGACCCATTGCTTTGTTTGTATCTAGCTTTTTAAGGGATTTTCGTATTTCTCTGTGATAAAAGGGTATCTCTGGCATACTATGGGAAACCCTTTCAATGAACGGTGGAGTTTTTCCGTTTGGCACTGTTAGGTTGGAGTTGGAGGAAAACATTTGGGCCAGCATATTGGCTTTTTCCTCTGATGTTGTGGCTAAGTGATTATTTTTATCTGTAAGTGGTGGTATGGATGACTTGGTGAAGTTAGATCCAACAGCTTTTGCAAGAGACCAAAAGGACCTAGAACTACTTGGACAATTCAGCAACCTGTTTTTTATTCTTTGATTGTATGTTTCTTTAGCGGAGTCAATAGTAATTTTGCAACTATTTCTGGCTTCTATAAATTCTGTGTGGTTTTGAGCGGTTTGTTGTCGTTTCCAAAGGTTATATGCTCTGTGTTTTTTCTGTACAGCCGTTTGACACTGGCTGTTAAACCAAGGTTTTGCATTAGCTCTACGTTTAGTTGTATGTGGGATATATGCATCCATTCCAGATAAGATTACTTGTGTTATTTCATTACAGCAAATAGTGGGATCAGCTGTTTTAAAGCAAACCTCTTGCCATGGAAAATCCAGGTAAAACTGTTTTAGGTCATTCCATTTTGCCGATTTATAGTGCCACATTTTACGAGGAAGTGGTTGTAGGCTTGGTGGGATGAGCATTTCGCACTTTGTTATTATAAGTTTATGATCGGACGAACCAAGTGGAGCATCTACTTGAATTGTGTACGAGTCAGGATTGGTGGTTAGGAACAAGTCTAAAAGCGCTGCAAATTCGCCCCTTTCTGAGATACGGGTAGGTTCATCGACAAGCTGCGTTAGACCACAACTTATGGCAAAAGCTTCTGCTTCTCTGCCTTCGTTATCTGTTTTATTGTGGTGTTTCAGCCAGGGTATATTGTGGACGTTGAAATCGCCTAAAAAGACAATTTCCGCCTGTGGATAGTTTGACTGTATACTATCACAGCTTTCGGATAATGTCGCGAAAAAGTTTTGGTAATCGGTGTTACTTGGCGGTCGGTAGAGGCAGCAGATAAACTTGGTCGATGACTTTGAGGTGAATTTTAGCCATATGATATCAAGGTTCGCTGGTTCTAGCTTCTCCTCTCGATGACATGAAAGGTCATTTTTAATGTACACACAGATCCCAAAATTATGTCGAAATCGGTGGTGTAGGTCATAGCCGGGATAAAGATAGTTCACAGGTGTTGCAGAACTGATTTTAGTTTCAGTGAGAACAAGGATGTCAGGTCTTTGTTCTTCAAGATGTTGGTGAACTGAATTCATATTTGTACTTATTCCTCTTATATTGCTAAAATCAATTCTGAGTTGAGTTTTTGATCTTCTCTTTATATCTTTGCATGAAGGACCCCCAGGATCACCCGACGCCCGGAGATCCGAGTGGTCGGGTATTTTACCTCCGGAATATTTTGATCCTGGAGGCGCCATCATGTTTGTTTACCAAAGTACCTATGAGGTTATTATGATTTGATATTTAGCTTTGTTTTAAGTTCGAAATTTGGAACGGTTCTGAGATTGCGCATAAAAAATAATAGAGGACTGTTCTCTTACTAGTTATGATTATGAACCGATTCGGAACCAAAATAACCAAAACACGCCGCAAAACACAAAATTCTAAAACAGTTCCTCCTTCAGAGCAAGAGCTGAGGGAACCGTTCTAGGTCAATCCCAGAATTGTTCTTAAATAGTTCTAGGTAAACCAAAACACTGTCAACACAGTTCGATTACGATTCTGAAAAAACGAAAATGCGTTTTATAATATGCGCATGTGCAGAATGATTCCAAACTAGTTCTGAGTGAAACCAAAACAAAGCTATTATTGATGGCAAAACGTAACTGCACCTGCGTATATATTTTCACGGAAATTTTGCTAAATTTTATGTTCCGTGTCAAACAAGTGAAAAGCAAAACCAAGAAGAAATATTTCGGCAATAATTTCATGAACAATTTCGTGGAGGAACTTTGCCGGACTATAGTTAAAAACTGGAATGCGCACACATTGCCATATCTGATAAAAAAATGAAGCCATGAAAGACAGATGCCACAAGGGGGAATGGGTTTTTTTTCAGTTGCTCGCTGACATATGACGTTTACGGAAGTTTTGTCATATTTTCCTTCACAGGTTTCATCAATTGGAATACGTGCTGGAAGCAATTGCCGCCATTTAACATATTGAGTGCGACAAAAACAGGTATCCCCTCCGCAGCAGCGGCACTAGGCTTCACGTTCGTCAATATGTGAGCGGATTCCAGTTGAACCAATGAACTATAACCAAAAACTGGAATGCTAACACATAAGGACGAACTTGAAGCCTAGTGCGGCTGCTGCGGAGGGGATACCTGTTTTTGTCGCACTCATTATGTTAAATGGCGAAAATTGCTTCCAACACGTATTCCAATTGATGAAACCTGTGAAGGGAAATATGACAAAACTTTCGAAAACGTCATATGTCAGCGAGCAACAGAAAAAAACAACATTCCCCCTTGTGGCATCTGTATTTCATGGCTTCATTTTTTTGGCAGATATGGCAATGTGTGCGCATTCCAGTTTCTAGCTATAGTTCATTGGTTGGAACCTTTGAATATAAAACTACAGGAAGGAGCGTTTCCTATCTGCCACTACAAACAACGCAGGGACGGAAACGGCCATTTTGAGCCTCCAAGTATGGACTCATCATTTGTTTTGGTGGTTCGCTGTGTCCTCATTCAAGTGGAGGTTTAATGGATTTTAGCGGTTTTAAGTGATAATAAGCACTGGTATTAATGCGAAAAGAGTGAGTCATAAATAATATTGACAATCATATTTAAATAAATATACGCGACTTCCAAACCGGAAACACTAGTCGGCCATATGCAACCTCCACATTTTCTGGTCGCGCAGATTCGAGGTTATGCTCCTTCCTGTAGTTTTATATTCAAAGGTTGGAACAGACCTATCATTTCATTTGTCACAGGCGAAATGTCTATTCAAAGTCAGAGTCATTTGTCATTTTTGTCAGTTTTATTTTTCTTCTAACTTTTATTTTTGGTCTGGATCAATTTTTCTGGGAATTTCAATTTTTTCATATATAGGACTACAGGAAAATCAAAAACATTCCTGAACATAACGCTTCTTTCGTCTATTTATCCTATAAAAATCTATTCGTTTGTGGCCTCGAAAAGAAAGGAGAATCACTTGAACTCCTGGGTAAAAGGCCATTAATTTGTAATCTAATTGTTTTCCTACATTTTGGATGACGTAGCGTAGGTAGAGACATTTTTCCTCATCCCTCCTCCATTTCTGGCTGGTTGGCGTGGCAGTGATTAGTGAAGTAAAGGCAAATAAATTCTAGGTGCCTGCTCTGCAGCAGATGCTTCGATTTTTTTTTTATAAATCCATGGAAAAGCAAAGCGATTAATTTTGACAATAAAAGTGTTAAATAATTACTAAATGAGTGTCTAAGTTGAAATTACCAGGAAAATGAATGTAAGCGACATATTTATGTCAGGCGGTGAGGAAGGAAGCAACAATATGGATATCTCTGAGAATTATAATCCCGAACTTATGATGGTTAGTAGTAGTCGAGGTAGTAGTAGTAGTAGTAGTCAAATGATCCTTATAATTCTCTTTGCATGAATTAGAATATCTCCAAAGTTGCTAGGTACAAGGTGCAAGATGCAAGCAATTAGCAATTTGTTTACACAATAATGCTTTTTTTTAAAAGCATACTACATACCACATAATTTTTTTTTGAAAACTGTTCCTGCGACCAGAAGGTATTATTAACCCAATTGTCGGATTTTTTATTTTTGTCCTTAATCCTGAATTAACCAAATAAGAATTGGGAATTTAAAACAAAAATTAGGATCTAATACCGACATTATCAGACAAAGATAGTCCGAGAGATAGTCCCTAGAAAAATACTGATTTTCTGTAGGTCGATACCTCCAATCAATTGAAGGATTTGTAGAATTCCTACTCAAAGTTACATGCTTCCTTTCTAGGCTCATTATTGCAAATTGAGTTTCTAAGTTTAGGAGGTTTAGTAAACAAAATTGCAATGTTTACTCTTCCTTAATTCCAATCTAAATGTTTTCTGAACATTTTCATATAAGTATATCTGAGGTTTTTCAGTTTTTATTGTGCTGTTGACTATGATTTAATGAGTACTGTGATTATGTTCAATATTCAATAAGTCTTTAAGGTCCTATAATAGAACTTATATTTCTCTAAATAGTGGCATCAGGCAGCCATGCTCATATTTGACATATAATTCTTTGTTGCATTATCTGACAATATTGCATAATACACAAAAATATTGCGAGGAATATTGGAGGTTAAGGAATATTATCCATAATAGGCCTGTTCGCAGAACAATCACAAACCAGTCAGAGTGAATCTCATTGGTTGAAAATAGTTTTCTGACTGTTTCTGATTGTTTTCAACCAATGAAATTTGCTCTGACTGGTTTGTGATTGCTGTGCGAACAGGCCTATTGTTGCACAATGATTGCAAGCACTTTGTGCGCATTTTTGATATCATTTCATGCAAAGATTACCAATTGAGAGTTATTGAAAATTTGAGTTAGATGCCTAATACCTAATAATAATATACATATTTATTGAAAGCAATTGATGGATACCTAGATAAATTTATTAGGACAATAAGTACTACTGCTGTACGTCATCAATTACATGTGAAAAAAATAGAAACATCAGCAATATTAGGTACCAACGAAGGTACCAATAAGTATAACAGAAAAATAAATAAAAAACAAACACAAGTTATAATATAAAGGATAAAACACTGAAATTTTAAACAAACTGGCGATTGAATGACTGAATGATGGTTTCATGAGACTGCTAGTTTGCTTGAATTTGAATCACTTAAATTGATCTTAACTGTTCGCAAAACTATATCACTATAACTGATTGCTCTTGTAATTGCTTTACTGTCCAATTGAAAAACTTTCTCTGCATTGAGGCTGCTTATTCATTTCAAGCCTTCTCTGATTGTCTCGATAATTCTCTATTAGAATTCTTTAATAAAACGAAAATAGATTATTTGCTAGGCTAGATTATTCTTTCAAGGACAAACTCAAATGTTGAAATTCTCAGGGACAGGGGTCGATTATTAAGTATAATAGATCGATTTAAAGGTTCTTGGCTATCTTTGGTATTTTATAACATTACCAAAAGGTGTCTACCTAAGGTAAAGTACCCAATTGTTGACATGTTAAGGGTATCCTTGCTTATGATCACCACACATTTTCCAAATTTTCAAACCCAAGGCTTTGATATATTTTTTGGCGTGATTTCAAACTCATAATTAAATGTTTAGATATATTATTTACCCTATATTCCTATTATTTGTGTTGTTATGCCAAAAATACCTGAAAGGTGATAAAACCCCAATAGTTGACACCCAAAAAAGTTCACTTCGACAAAAGTTGACACAGTTGTGGTCCAAAGGTTGACATATATTTTTTTACAAAATCAAGTTTTTACTTTTGAGGAATTTTATCACGGTCTGTGGAACTGAGAAGTATATTTTTCTAAGTGTATGATTTTTTAAATGAAATATATGCATATAATATCCAATTATTTTAATTTTTTTCAAATACATGTCGTGGTTCCATTACTTGACACTCTTGAAACCAATAGTTGACATGTTGCCTGTATCAGTGGAAACCCTGGTAGAAACATCAATAATGTAAGAATCAATTTTTTTATTAATAAAAAATAACATTGGGAAACTTTTTTTTTGGAAAAAATACAAATTTCAATTCCAAATTGGTAATTGAAGAAATTGCTTAGAAAGCATTGGTACATTGTGTTTTTTTGCTGATGTAGCTACAGTAAGCCCCCTATCGCAATCATCCAATGCAGCAATCATGTCTTCTGGTAGTTCCGGTGCATATTTCAGCGATTTCCATTTTTCATAAGTCATCTCTTGATTTAAACCTAAAAGGACCAATTGTTGACACACTAAAGTTCCATCTACGACCGTCACATTCTCCAAACCCATATCTAGGTTTCTTTTCCAGAGCGATAAGAAGAGACAAACTGCAATGTTAAAATATTTTTACTGCCAAAAATCCATAAGTTGACACTAGTGTCAACATTTGGATCACCCCTCGATTTGGGCTCCAATAGTTGACACCCCCCCTTAAAAAGTTTATGCCCCTTATTTACGAGATAAAACAATAATAAATATGTATTACAATGTATCTTATTATACAGTAAATATCGAGGTAAATATATATTATTCATAAATTATCAACCCGCCTTAGCTTTGAGAATTTTTGGTTTTATATCTTCTTAACTACTTTCACTAGAAATCTGGAAAAAAGTTCAAACAATTGCATCTCTTTACTACTTCGTGCCACCATATTGAAAAAACTTGTGATTTTAAATCCATACATCAGCTATAACATGCAAGGTGGCTCCAACAATACTATAAGCTATTTCAGTTAGCTTATAACCTCTATAAAGTCTTATTTTCGGGACTAATATGCTAATGGTCAACTTTTGGGACCCTGTCAACAACTGGGTACTTTACCTTAATTGAAGGGTTAAAATTGTTGAAATTGCTTAATTGACAACTATGAAATTTGGTAAGCGAGAGAACAATACTCTCAATGTTTTTTCTTCCATTCTCAGGGATTTAGAAATTTCACCCTTGTCTATTTCATGTAAATAAATCTTAGTATTTATAGTATCAAATTTTGATGTCTTTTGGCCAACATGTAAGACATTTCACATATTCGGTACAATATGTACAAACCAAGGTACAAACTCATGTTTCTCAACATTGTATATATTTGTCACAATATTTAATGCATGACTATAGTTGGGCCACCGAACAGAGATAGGAATAAAACTGAGCATTCAACTTCCGAGAGGCCTGACAGGCAATAGACAAGAGGATTTATACCCAATTTATACCTTCTTATAATAAATAAAATTTATTAAATGCATGAATTCATATTTTATGAGGCAATATGCATAAAGGGTTTCATTTAACATTCGCATTCCAATTACATACTAAATTATTTTCAGTTAAAATAAATAAATGAAAGACAAACAACATCAGTTTCAAATGCGCTCCACTATGAAAATGTCTGCTTTTAAGAGGGTGTCGGGATAATTTATGGGGGCTAGTTACCAGGTAATCGTTTTATTACTATCTCTGTTCGGTGGCCCGACTACGTATATAAAGTTAGTAGTGCAAAGTCAGCAGTGCAAAATTTTTATGACTGGAAAAATTAGTGCTAATTAAATGCCAAGTTCACAAATTTTGTGCTCTTGTAGTTTCCGAGATATGGTCTGCACTGCTAGCTACCCGTTAAAGATAGCAGTGCATCATCCAGGAATGATCCAGGAAAGTGGTAGGGTGATATAAATGATGAAGAAAATTAAATGCTAATTAAATGCTACCATTTCAATGAACAAAATCCCTATTTTCAGCTTTTTCTCGAATATTTTCTAAAAGCAACGCTGTGCACTACTAGCTTTATGCAGTACACATATTGAGTTTTCATGGAAGAAGGGGTTGGTGGAGTTTTCCACATTAGAATAATTTAGTGCTAATTAAGTGCTTAGTAAATGCCAAGTTACCAAATTTTGTGCTCTTGTAGTTTCCGAGATATTGCCTGCACTGCTAGCTACCCGTTAAAGATAGCAGTGCACCATCCAGGAAAGTGTTAGGGTCGTATAAATTATGAAAAAAATTAAATGCTACCATTTCCATTAACAAAATCTCTATTTCCAGCTTTTTTTCGAATATTTTTTTAAAAACAACGTTGTACACTGCTAGCTTAATGCAGTACACATATTGAGTTTTCATGAAAGAAGAGATTGGTAGAGTTTTCCACATTAGAATAATTTAGTGCTAATTAAGTGCTTATTAAATGCTAAGTTACCAAATTTTGTGCTCTTGTTGTTTCCGAGATATGGCCTGCGCTGCTATACCTGTTAAAGATAGCAGTGCACCATCCAGGAATGATCCAGGAAAGTGGTAGCGTGATATAAATTATGAAAAAAATTAAATGCTATTTAAATGCTACCATTTCCATTAACAAAATCTCTATTTTCAGCTTTTTTTCGCACATTTTTTAAAAACAACGCGGTGCACTGCTAGTTTTATGCAGTACACATATTGAGTTTTCATGAAAGAAGGGATTGGTAGAGTTTTCGACATAGGAATAATTTAGTGCTAATTAAGTGCTAATTAAATGCCAAGTTCACAAATTTTGTGCTCTTGTAGTTTCCGAGATATGGCCTGCACTGCTAGCTACCTGTTTAAGATAGCAGCGCACCATCCAGGAATGATCCAGGAAAGTGGTAGAGTGATATAAATTATAAAATAAATTAAATGCTACCATTTCCATGAACAAAATTTCTATTTTCATCTTTTTTTCGCATATTTTTTAGAAACAATAACGCTGTGCACTGCTACCTTTATGCAGTACATATATTGAGTTTTCATGAAAGAAGGAGTTGGTAGAGTTTTCGACATAGGAATAATTTAGTGCTAATTAAATGCCAAGTTACCAAATTTTGTGCTCTTGTAGTTTCCGAGATGTGGCATGCACTGCTAGCTACCTGTTAAAGATAGCAGTGCACCACATTGTTTTTAAAAAAATATGCGAAAAAAAGCTGAAAATAGAAATTTTGTTCATGGAAATGGTAGCATTTAATTTTCTTCATCATTTGTATCACCCTACCATTTTCCTGGATCATTCCTGGATGGTGCACTGCTATCTTAAACGGGTAGTTAGCAGTGCAGGCGATATCTCGGAAACTACAAGAGCACAAAATTTGTGAACTTGGCATTTAATAAGCACTTAATTAGCACTAAATTATTCCTATGTCGAAAACTCTACCAATCCCTTCTTTCATGAAAACTCATTATGTGACATGTGTACTGCATAAAGCTAGCAGTGCACAGCGTTGTTTTTAAAAAATACTCGAAAAAAAGCTGAAAATAGAGATTTTGTTTATGGAAACGGTAGCATTTAATTTTTTTCATAATTTATATCACCCTACCACTTTCCTGGATCATTCCTGGATGGTGCACTGCTATCTTTAACGGGTATAGCAGTGCAGCCAATATCTCGGAAACTACAAGAGCACAAAATTTGGTAACTTGGCATTTAATTAGCACTTAATCAGCACTAACTTATTCCTATGTTGAAAACTCTACCAATCCCTTCTTTCATGAAAATCACTATGTGTACTGCATAAAGCTAGCAGTGCACAGCGTTGTTTTTAGAAAAATATGCGAAAAAAAGCTGAAAATAGAAATTTTGTTCATGGAAATGGTAGCATTTAATTAGCATTCAATTTTCGTCATCATTTATATCACCCTACCACTTTCCTGGATTATTCCTGGATGATGCACTTCTATCTTTAACAGGTAGCTAGCAGTTCAGACGATATCTCGGAAACTACAAGAGCACAAAATTTGTGAACTTGGCATTTAATTAGCACTTAATTAGCACTAATTTTTCCAGTCATAGAAATTTTGCACTGCTGACTTTGCACTTCCAAGTTTATATACGTGGCCCGACTATAGGTACAATGTGACAATAAAAATAAATGTGACTTATATCAAGGGAGATTGATTTAGCCGATACTTGATGTCCCTATGACCAACTGAAGGGTAATGATTCAATTAAATAAAATTGTGGAAATCTAGAAACTTTTTTGTTTCGAATAATTCCTTTCGAAAATTGTGACTTATTCCAAAATCTAGATCAGTTTTCTCTACCCAAGTCAGGGACAAACTCATTTAATTTTACCTATGATTATGGTTTGAAGGTTTCATGGAGGAAAAATCAGTGTGTCGAATGGAGCTTTGGTAAAAACACTTGTGTTTTCCAAAAAAAATTCAAAAATTTTTCATTTAGGCATTGACAATTGATTGGACAATGGATATGTATTGTCATATTTTCACATGTGTGACATAAAGTTGTGCATATTTAGGTTAAGTTGGATTTGCTTTGTTCAATTTCCGTTTCTTAGAATGGATTCTGGTTGCTTATCACTAATCAGTGATAAAAAATGCTTTCAGAAACATTTTAGACATTAATTCAGCGTTTTTTGCTGCTTGAACATATAGGGTACGTTTGATAATAAATCACATGAAGGAAATCAATATTTTTCATCATACACCTGCATACCCACACTTGGCCAAACATAAAACTGGTACAGGCAATATATATTTTTCAAATTTGCCTAGTGTGAGTCAGGCTTAACAACAAAAAGTATCTTCTGAAAAACTTAGGTCAGACAGTTTTTGTCACTGTCAAAGCTGAACAAAAGTAAATGTTACATGTTTTTATGGTATGTTTGGTTCAAAGATTCAGTGTCATCTTGACTCTTTTTGTAATTTTTGAAGTGATAAAAAAGGTTGATTTTCACAATACAACACAATAGGAAAATGCGTACCAGTTTTATGATTGGCCAAGTATACATACAACAAGGCATGATAGCCCATTGATTAAGACATTATTCCTCTCAAGAAAAAGAAAATTTGAAGTCTCTTATTTGTCTCACTTTACAGTAAATTATTCCTAATTTTATTCATGATTTTTTGCCAGATATAAATATTAGATTACCCCTCGGATTACCCATTATATTCAATTTACAGAGTTCAGAATTTTTTGATTCCGTCTTATCTTTGCAAAACGATTTGGATGATGGATTCTTGTCAGCCTTTGAAGATGAGAATAACATGTATAGTGATGCCAGTCATAACGAAGAGGTATTATCACCCCAGAGCTATTACTCTGAAAGTGACAAAAACAGCAACTGCAGCACCGAAAATACAGATACAGACACGTAAAGTTCCCTTTAGAGTAGTTTAACTATTATGTGCTAATGAAAATTTATTTTCAGCTCTGGTATAACCACTATCGATGGCCTGGATGATCCAACCATTCTATCATTTTTGGACACAATCACTCAACAACCACAAGAAGTTAAGGATATCCCAGTAATTCACCCAATAACTCCTGCTGTTTCACCACCAAGGTTTAGAAAAATAGTGATTCAGAACCCCAACAATAAGAAGTGTATAGCTAAACCATTGATTAATGCGAGTAAGTTAATTGACTTGTAGAGTAAGGAATTAAATTTATTTAACTGTTCTTAATTGGATTTTAGCACAACTGAGAAAAGGCCCTGCTAATGGAAAACCTCAAATAATTAAAGTACAGCAAATTACTAGTAATGGAAGGTCGGTTTTTGTACCTTTGAATATCAAAAGTATTAAACTATTAAATAGTGCCACTGATGTTGCCGCATTGACAAATAAACGGAAAATTGAACCAGCTATTTCTGTACTCAGTGATGGTAATTTTACTTAATCATATTATATCATTTGTGCACAAACAATGACTTGTACCCATATATCCAAATAACTTATCCTTAACCCTTTAGTGCGGCTAAATAAATCGTTTGTTGAGTCCTTGCTCGCCGACAATAACCTCAGATTGTGTTGCATAAAAACAATATCATATTAACATTGACACAATCTAAGGTTTTTGCTCGGGATTTTGTTAACAAACAGGGACTTAGCCAACAATTGATCTTGCCACACTAAATTTAAAGATGTTTTTGATTTCTGCTCATAAGGGTTAATATTATTTCGTACCGCCTCACTTTGTAGATAACAAACTGCCAAATAGGAGTAGGCTCTGAGAAGAATGATTCAGCATTGATATAATATGCATATTTAGGTTGTGTCTTCCATAATTACAATTATAACTTGATCTGAGATAATATTGTCCCGCTAGCCTCAAAAGGGTTATTGTCAAACTATAAACATCCCCCCTTAGGCTTAAGTTGACTTGTTTTGGGATCTTTAGACTCAAAATTGACCTTGTAATTATAACTTGTACAAGTCCAGCTCGCTATACATTTGGTTGGAAGCGCATCCATGGCTTCAGGTGACAACTATGATATAAGTTACAAAAAAAAAATGTTTTAACTGAATGTTGCAGAGAATTTTATTCTTTATGACATGCTTTTCAACAGTTTTGTTGCTAATCCGATAAGGGGCAGACATTACCTAAAAAACTAAACTCGCCCTTGAATTCAACATAGAAAACTGTGAGGAAAACTGCATTCGAAGTAATAGGTGTAGTTTCTTGTTTTTAAAACTCCCTACACTATAAGACGCCAATCTATTCAATTTACTGTTTGATTTTTACTAGGTCAGGTTCATAGATTCTAGACTACAAATTTGTATTTGATTTTATTTGTTTTTATTTAATGATAATCGTCCAACACAGGCACACATAGAAGGGCTCCAATTTGAGTGGAGCACTGAGAAGGTTTTGCAAAAAAGTATCACTTCAGAGTTTGCTATAAAATATGTAGAATTTATAATATTTACGTGTAAAAGTCATTACAGAACACTTATCTAAATTTAGGAACATTCTGCTTGTTGCGAACCAGTTGTACACACAGTTCAGATCTTTTGAAGAAGTCTGGAATCCTCCTAATTTTTAATTATTTTATTAATTCCAAAGTCGTTTGCAAAGATTAAACATAATGAATTAACAAACGTGATACACTTCATTGAAGATTTTGGCTCAGTCAGTCAGCATGACATCCAGTTAATACTTGGAATTTATTCCCTCAGCTGCAGACTATAACTACTGTCGAGTTACCTATTGTTAACCTATCAGGCAAAAAACCTTGCTGTTGGTGAGCAAATCTGTGTAAAAAAACTATCTTAATCATCACAGTAGAGAACTGACTCAAAAATCAAAAGCCAGTGAATCCACTATATAAATAAGCCTATAATTTTCTATATTAATTTCATTAGGTACATATTTGCTGAGAATAATGTATTTATTGATTCTTTTGAATTATTGGGAAAACATTAGTATTGTAAGTGAATAAGCAGGATGTTCTATGAAAGGTGACTTGGAAAAGCATATATGTGTTCGTTTATTTCAACTTGGACACCCTGTATGGTAAAATATTATTTTTTAAGATGATAGAAAGATATCAGTATTGGATAGTCAATATCCTCTATAATTTACTTTTGTAGATGACACTGAAACGATACCAGAACCAAGTCATCAATATCCTTCTCTACATCTAAATAATGAAGAGAAAAGATTACTTGCCAAAGAAGGAATTCAACTACCCACACATTACCCCTTAACCAAAAACCAGGAAAGGGAACTTAAAAGAATAAGGAGGAAGATTCGCAATAAGATCTCAGCGCAGGATTCTAGGAAGAGGAAAAAGGAATATGTTGATGGATTGGAAGAAAGGTAATGACACCTATATAATTTGGTACTTTATTTTATAATTTTTCAATATTTTTCAGAGTTAAAAACGACTCAGATGAGAAGAAAAACCTTTTGCAAAGAGTAAAAGAACTACAAAGGCAGAATCGCACCTTGGTTGCCCACGTACAGCGGCTGCAAGCCCTTATTTCGAAATCATCCACATCAAAGGCCACACCTTCAACTTGCCTTATGGTGTTTCTGTTATCGGCATTGCTAGTTTCGCTTCCTAACACGCGTTTGTTTGAGAGTAAAGATGTGTCGATTGGCAAAGAACAAGTAAGCATCAGAAGGTCTTTGCTTAGCGATCTTCAAGCCACAGCAGAAGATGATTTGAACATGGAGGAGTTCTTAATATTCAAAGATGATGAGCCTGAACTTGATGCTAAGTTTGGAGACTATGTTCAGTCCGACGATAACTCCACTGAGAAACGGTCAAGCATTTTCAATGAGATTGGTAAGTTTAGAGATTTTTTTTTTACAATTGATTTTGGGTGTTTAACAAATGTAGTTTTTCTGATGTGCACAGAAATTCAACAAATTAAATAAAAGTATATATACATACATATAATTAGAAAATTTTGGATTAATTTTCTTTGCTTTTCCATCCATAGACGCGTTTCGACCTATATCAGGTCTCATCAGTATGGCTAGGAAAAGCAAAGAAAACCAATCCAAGTTTTGTGCATGTATGTCTTACTACATACATATAATAATATATTACAACTACAATAATGTAATAATATGTAATTGAATTAATACTACTATATACATAAATAAAGTAAGCCATCAGAATAAAATGATTACTTTTCTCATACAATTTGAAACAAGTCAACTCAAATAGCATTACATAGTACGATAGTACTCACACTGAGAGAATATTCAACATTTTCGTGTTTAATGCTATTTTTTGTGAAGTCTGTATTTAAAGAAATTATTTTCAAGTGAATATCAAAAACCTCAAACTAATAACTTTTGTTCTCTTCCATAGCCAAAAAACATAATGATTTCATGATTGATAAAAATGATTCCATGGTCAACAAAAATGATTCTGACAAAATGGGTATATTGGGAAAAATCATGCAAGCGATGGGTAATCTAGTGTCGGAGAAACCAGGACTTCTAGATCCTAAACTGTCTGTAGTTGGAGGGGCTTACAATCAGCAAGGATTTATCGATCCGGATATTGACGATTACCTACCAGTAGATGAAGGCCCTTCGTTAAAACGAGCAAGATATGCTACAGGCGAATATGAACTAACTTTAGCAAACATGGGTGTCGAAACAGTTGTTTCTTCAACAGTTACAAATCAGGTGCAGGTAACGAAAGATAAATAGTTCCAGGTAATTGCTTTATGAAAAAACGTTCATTCTCTATTTGCCTTATTTTATGTGTGTGTTCCTGTTGTATTCGTTTATTAAATTACATAAAATGTATTTTTGTTGCATTCCATTAAATTTGTTGCCTGTTATTATAATTAAAACTTAGAACGATTGCTTTATTCACATCATTTGAAATTTTCTTGGCCCTAATTTTTAAGAGACTGTTAAATTTTATTCTTGAGATTTCTTTATATTATTTGTTTACTTATTTAATGAAAGTTTATTACACTTTAGTATGTAGGATAATTTAACATTGATTCTTCTATGATTCAGGACTATCTTAAACAATTTGCATTTCATGCAATATTTATGTAATTTGTCCTCTAGAATAGGGGATTTGAATATAATTGTTTGCCAAATTATTTTGTGTGTCTTTTTAACACAAAACCCTGAAAAAACTTGAAAACAGCAGGAAATTAGTCTAAAAGTATGTGACTGAAATTTTGGGGAACATTTTTTTACAAAATTATAGATTTACAAAAGTAATCTTGGTCAGCGAATTACAAGTGAAAACTGGAATTTGTGTACACAGAAGTTGAAATTTTTTATAAGTGTGAAGTTTAGGAGCTCTTCCAATATTTATCCAATTCCAACATCTGATTTCAAGTGGTTACTCAGTCTCATTGGCCTTAAGCCAGAACGACTTCTTACAATCAACTCAGGAGCACCACTGATTATTAAAATAGATGATGAATTGAATTTCAGATGGATTCACACCAACTTCTAAGGGCCGATACTTTTGCTCTCGATCAACGAATTTGATACATTGTCAAAGTTTTGCATGGGCCAAGGTCTTTAAGTAAGATGTGGTTAGAGCACATTCTAACCCCTGATTATTTTAAACGGCTGTCAAATGAGAGCAAAAGTACCGGCGCTAAATGTATTATTCGAGAATGATTTTAGATTCCAGAGCAACAGGAAAATATTTATTTATATCAATTGGAACAGCTAAACGATCTGTCAAACCTTTGATCAATCTATGTGCAATTGTCCAATAAGTTTGAATAAAATACTAGTAATAGGAATAACATAAACACAAAATTACATAAAATATGTTTTTATTTCAATGCCTGTTAACCTAAACATGTTTTATTTGCGTCAATTATTTACACTGCTGAGGAATTTCCATTCTGATGGTCTTGGTTTCGGACTTGTGGCTGAAGTCAGGGTTACCTCCTTGGTCAATTTGACTCTTTAAATAATAGGCAGTTTTGGAGTTGCTAACACAATGAACTGGTACGTTTTTGGTTACAGTTTTCCGGGCACCATTTTTACATTCTGGTACTGGATGGATTGTGAAACAAATGTCATCATTTTGTTCAGTATAACGGTTTCTAAGTTCCATTTTGTTGCTGGTTTCTTCAGTACTTCTTCTCCCTTCATAGTCGCGTTTTGAAATGACATCAGTATACAAAGGCAGTTCCTTACGAATACATTCTCTAGGTGATTGAGTTTCTTGTCTTCCTTCAACTTGGTAACTAGCAACGAATTTTTCCATAGATCTTACAATGCAGTTTTGGGGAGTTTGAAAATCTTCGTATTTGTCGTCACTGAAACGACCACACAAACCTGTAATGGAATCACGGAGTTTGTCGTTGAGAGCTGTTAGTTTAACGCGTTCTCCATCAAAGATTAAATAGAACCAGTCACGAATTTCCATTTTAAGTTCGCCTTTGTTCAAAGAATAAATTTCCATAAAGCCATTGAAGAAATCGGCAGCTTTATTTTCATTGAAGTGGACTTCTTCACCATCAACAAGTACAGAAACGGCGGCTCCTGATCTTTGTTCCGTGGGCTTCATATTGATTTCGACGGTTTTTCCTTCAGTAGTTGGGTGGCTGAACACTATTTTCATTTCCCTAAGGTCTTCAGAAGTTTCTTTGATTAAAACGACAAAGGTTTCCTGTTGTTCCTTAAGTTGTTGGACTGGATCTACTCTGCGTTCGCCATCGAGTCGAGCATGTTCCGGCATGTAAAGCATCATCATGGTCCATCCTTTTCCAAGAGATAATGGATAAGTCCTATTGCTGAAGGTTTGAGCAGCATTTCTGTCTATTACACAAGTAGCTACAGAAAAAAAAATATGTAGGTATTTTTTTTGTAAGACCCGTTATAAATCGGAAATACACTTACGTCTGATATTGTCTTGACCCATCATTTGCCCAGCCAGTCTTGCTTTAAGATGGAATACGGGATGGGGAACCCAAAGTGTTTTAGCCCATTGACCCAAGGAAATGTTAGAAAATTTGGTTTCTTTATTAATGGTGACATTCACTTGTCGCAAATGTTCAGGTTGGAATTGCACTCTTACTTCAATTTTGTTGTCTTCTTGGTTGCGAACGCCAGTACTTTCAGCGATTGGATAGCTTGTGGTGCGAATGGCATTGTAAATACGTTGGATATTCATTTTGCACTCCGAAGGCACATTTTGGTATTCTATGTCAATTTTGATGTCATTGAGGAAATTGGATTCAATGGTCATATTTTGGCAAGCAGCTAATTGCTTGTTACCTTCTTGCATTTCCTTCTTGCATACGTAATACATCGGTTGTTCAACAAGAGCTTGTTTGCGAGATTCACTTCTGTTCATTTTAATGGTAGCTTTAATTTCTACAGGTTCCCTACGTTCTTGCTTTTCTTGGAATACTACTTCATATTTGGCTTTTGGTTCTTTTTCCAAGGAGTCAGTTAAATCCAATCCGTTGGTGTTAGGAATATAACTTTTAACTTGGAGGCCTACCTCGCGAGGTGTTTGAGTTTTGCTCTTGTAAAAAGCCACTAGGCTAGATTGAGGAGCGACGTTGCTTTTAGCATAAGCCAAGGCGAAAATATATTGATTTTTACGTTGTCCTTCAAATTCCAGGGAAGCATCAATGCAACTTGCTTTGGCATTTGTGATACCAGCGCTAACATGTTTCAGTAACTCGTTTTGGCGTTGCTGACTCTCACATTCTACTTTAGATGAAAGCTGTTCAATGCTCAAAAATTCTGGTTGTTTTTGATTTTGCGGTTGAGTCTTGTATTGATTTTGCATTCCCAAGCGTAGAGTGAATTTTCTGGAGCTAGATTGTTCAGGAGCTAGGCGAATATCGGCTTCAGTTTGTTGCAACGTAGCATCATCCCAGCTTTGTTGCCAGGCTGCTACAATTCCTTCAGATTTGATTAAGTCAGCAAGTTGCAATATATTAATGGATTGTTGTGGATGATGACCTGAAACACGAACAGCCATACCAGATTCTTTGTTTCCTAAAACAAAGTCGAATGATCTGTGTGTGTCGCTTTCTGGTCTGAGACGGTGAGTATTTGTTCTTAGCGCCACTGGACTAGTAGTCATGATGTCACTACGAGAGGTATAAGGCCATGAGCTGTAGTGGAACAAACGAGCACCTGGGTGTTTTTCGTTCAATTCACATTCGATTTTAGAGGAAGATTTTGCAAGATTTACTTCAGCGTTGATTTTCAATGGGAGATGAACTTGGAAGTTTTTGTCGAATCCAGCAACATAGATTTGGTGGTCGAATGGAGTAACTAAACTCAAGTGTGATTGCACTTTAGTGGAAATAGTAACAAAGCCTTCAAGCTGAGCAGAGATTTGTTCTGGTTTGCGCAATTTCTTGCCACTTGAAATTTGAGGAGACACTTGGGCCTTAACTTTGCCTTCATATTGGACTAACATCGGGATATCATAGGTGTACAAGAATGGAAAGCCAGTTTCAGTAGGAAGAGAAAGGGCAATTTGTTTGAGTTGTTTCAATTTGTTGTATCGGACTTGTTTACCGTTCTTCAATTGTTGTTCTAGTTCCCGAAGAGCTGAAAAAAATATGGTTTTTATTTAAAAGGTCAAAAGTCTGAAGACAGATAGAGATTACCTTCTGGCAATTGTTCAATTGTTTCGTTATCAAAAGACCAAATTTTTTGGAAAGCATCAATTTCTGTGTAAATAAATCCTTCAAGTTGTTCCCTTTCCTCACCCTGAATGTCTAGAGATTCGGCAATTTTGGCACTGGACCATTTGCTTTCTGTAGATTGTTGCTGTGCTCTTTGAGCATTCCTTTGTTGGTATTGTTCGGTTTGTCTGTAGAGAACGTTGCAGAGTTCCTTTACGCTAGAAAGCATAACTTGCACGTTGCTGAAGTAATGTTTAAATCCGTTAATATCTCCACGTAAAGTGTATTTAAGTCCTTTGGGCAACATGCTGTCTGGGCTTCCTACTTGAAGAATATTCTGTTTGAATTCGGTGTTCATGTTTTCAACTACGAAGTCTTGTAAAAAGTTCAAGCTTTGTTGCTGTCCATATTCTTTGCGGGTGAGAAGAGGTCTTGCTGATTCAGCAGATTTACGCCTAGAATATTAGAGAAAATAATATTAATAAGGGTGACAAAATTGACGTTACCAAATACTCACAAAGATTGAGCCTGACCACTGGTAAGCTCACAAGCGCTTTCAATAGCAGATTTAACAGCAGCATTGACTTCTTCTTGTTGATCAGTGTTGGTATTTTCAGCCATATGTTGAAGCATTTCAACTGAAGGGTTGGTCCTCATGAGTTGGTAAACTGCCACAACTCTGACTTCAGAAACTTCAGCGGCATTTTGATAGATTCTGTACAGTACAGAGCGAGCAGTTATGGGAGAGCTACTAGCCAATTTATCCAAACTTAGTACCATAAGAGTACGTTGGAATTGAGAGCATTGCCGTTGTCCTTCTAAGTATGGTTCAAAAGCTTTGAGAATTTGTTTGTGCCCAATATTGCCAAGGCAGCGAATGAAAATATGAACCTTGCGTGAGTCAGCTCCAGATACAGCTTCATCCAATTTTTGAGACAAGTAGGGTATTACAGTGGATGTGGCAAAGGTTTTTCCTTCTTTAGTATAGAAAGAGCGGAAGCTGTTTACAGGATATTCATTGTTAGATTGGTGCTTGTTTACATATACTTTATGTACCATTTCAGTAAATGATAACCATGCGGTTTCATTGAGATATTCCTGGTGCCTTACTTCAGGTTTTTTGATCAGTTCAAAGAATGATTGCATATATTCTTCAGTTGGGACACGAACAGCACGAGTCATAGCAGAAATTATTTCAGCAGCTTCCTGTCTTTCTACCTTCTTGGTAGAAATCCATTCTTCGATATTTAAAAAGGCTGGGCCAGTTCCAGCTTCAGCTACAGCATCCCTAAAAGCGGCCCAAGCCACTCGTTGTGCACCTTGTTTGTCTGGGGTGTACAGTTTTTCGGCTAAAGATTTAATATCGTCCTTGTCCATTGTGCGAACCAAAGAACAAAGCATAGCGTATTTGCTTAATGTAGATTGAGTCAAAATCTTTTCAGGTTGTTGCACATCTTCACTGATTTCTCTAGCGATTTTTTCGACAATTTGTTTAGGATCGAAATCTTTATCGGTTCTGACAGACTTTCCATGGTACCCCATAAAATAGGGCAACAGGGGAAATTGTGGAGCTTCAGTCATTGAAGGTCTGGGTTGGTATTGCATGGTTTCTTCAGAAGATGAGCTGTCATCTTGTTGCATTTTCTTGATCATTTGTTCAGCGGATTGGCGGAACTTTTTCCAGGTAGATTCATTACCTTCTTCACTAGATTCACTGCTTAAATTATCACCTTGCATTTTTTCATGTACTTTGTTGGACTTAGCAAAAGGTCTTTCATAGGTGTAAACGAGGTTTCCAATTTCAACAGGATTAGACATTTCTTGAGCCTGTTGACTTTGAGATTTTACTTCTGACAAAGTTAAGTTAAGAGCACTAATTGCTGAACCTTGTTGTCGAGCATTAATTGTTGGGTTAATAATAATTTTATCAACAGTTTGGGAGCTTTGAATCGTATATTTGGAGACTTTTCCAGTCAAAATCATACGAGAGCTTGATTGTCTAGTATAGAATTGTCCCATTCTATTTCCAGTGGGTTCTCCTGCAATAATTTCTCCAAAACCATAATAATAAGCAGGTATATCTTCAGTGTTTGAGTAGTTTTTGCTTTTAATTACCTCATAAATTTGTCCATGGAAGTTCAATTGTTGTTGTGGTACCAGCCAGGGCTGGCTTTGGGTCAAGTATTCAGGAAGACGGTGGATTTGATACAAAGTTTCTGTTTCTCCAGTAACGGTTTCTTCCATGCTTTTAAATACTCCCTCCATCTCATTGTTTTTTGGTAAGTTGTTGATGGGTGACTGGATGATATTATTTCCTTGAATATCCAGTTGAAGTTGGCTTACAATACTTTTGATAACGTTGGCTTCCCAATTAGTCACATCTTTTTCTACAATCAGACCTTTAATCACACCTTCTTTGGTAAGTATTTTGAAAGGTTTATCAGTGAGCCCCAATTGCTTGTAGTTAAGCTGAGACTCTGAAATTTCAGAATTCCAGCCATCTGGCAATTGACTTTGAATTTGAGCATATTGGGCATCAGAAATTCTAGCTTGAAGTTTTCCGTCAGGGCGTGTAGAAACGTGTAATTTAGCCTTCAAGAGAATGCCGGAATACTGATCTGTAAGCTCATTTAAGCTAGTGAGGGAACGTCCGCTGACACGGTAGATATATTCCGTGTTGTCTTTCCAGCTGGCGTGACTTGAGGCGAAAGCCAAACCCACTAAAAATGAGAAAGATTATTTGACATATGCTGAAAAGCGCGAACAAATTTTTTAAGGCCTTCAGGAGCAGAGTAGAAAATAAAAAATATCTATGGACTATGATTAGTGACAAGCTTAGAATAGAAAAAAATTGGAAAAATATAAACATATAAGGTCTGTTTCTGCAGAAATAACAAACCAGTCAGAGTGAATTTCATTGGTTGAAACTAGTTTTCTGACTGTTTCTGACTGTTTCAACCAATGAAGTTCGCTCTGACTGGTTTGTGATTGCTGCAGAAACAGACCTATGGAGTAGGTACTTACTTACTTACCTATAGGAAAAGATATGAGCAAAATGAGCACAAAAAAAAAACTAAAACTAATTTTTACTATATTTCCACTACATACCTATAGTGAAAAAACAACAGACAGAGCTAATTAAACACATGGGATTATGGTAAGTAACTATACTATATCGATTTTTTTTTCAGGAATTTTTAATTTTTTTTTTTTCATTTTTGCAAAACAAATGGTACTTATAAGGAATATTATGCAGGAATACATTGAACCTACCAATACCGATTTCCCAGTGATCCTTGGCAAAAATACGTTAACTGATTTTTCCCAAAACATCACAATAACATTTATTTAGAAGAATTATTTTGAAAAAAATCTTACACGCCCCTTTTTTCTGGTACAACGAAAATTGATACAGATGGGCGTTAGATAGAAATTGGTGGTTAGAGTTTTCCCGAAAATGTCTGAAAGTAATGATGGAAATTTGAGAGTATAAGTGGTCATATTTGGCCAGGATCACAGCCCAAAGATGAAGCTTCCCACTCAAAGACGACTTTCGAATACCTACCTAATAAAAAAAAAAAGGTAAAATCGGTAAAGAAATAAAGATTTTACAAAGGAATAAGTCCAACGGAGACACTGTAGGTATATTACTAGAAAAAATAGGTGACAAAAAGATAACCATATAGGTAGGTAGACACCTTATGATCAATGTGTGAAGCACAAAGTGGATTCAGAATAGAAAATACCTACACAATATCACATCCCAACATTTGAACAAATAACAAAATTGAAAGAACAAGGAAAAGGAGTGTACCCAGTGTTTATAGATGTTAAAGAAATTGAAGAAAGGTCAAGAAAAATTATTTGAAAGAGTAACAACGAGATTACTACTGGGGTAGCTTAGATTTTGGCTTAACGGGCGCAGATAAAGCAGCAATTTGGGGGAAGATGATAGATAATTCTCCTTATACCTAGAGATATAAGAAATACGAATAAAATTGTGCACACGCATACAATAACGATCAATAATTGAGGAAATGATAATGGGAAAAAGCGAAACAAAAATACTTACCAAGGGCCAAGAAAACCAAATAGGTTCTCATCTTGTACGAACTACCACGGGTACAAGAAATGATATTCTTCAATAATCGTGTTATATTTATAAGAGAATTTTTGCTTGTTCAGACAAAATATTCATAAACCTGATATGACGCGGCGTATACGTGAATTTGAGATATCAGAATTTATATTGATAATTATGAATAAAGACCTCTTTAAGTGAATATTTTCAATTTATTCGGGTAACTAGGTACTGGTTTTATGCAAAAATCGTTACAGGGTAATTCAGAAAAGCCAAATTGTATTTTTTTCCCCAAAAGCGCTAGTGGGCAGTTGGTTCTTGCCTTATTCGTAGTTTTTATGTGTTCTCTTGTATCTGCATATGTATACGGGGTGGACAAATGGAAATAGAAGAAGCAATTTTCAGCTTCTCACTTTTGAAATCCATTTTTATGGGAAAACAGGTTAAAAACGTGTTTTTTATCCAAAAACTAAATTCACTGAGAGGATTTTTTCGGAACTGGGATATCCGAAACTGATTTGACTGCTTTAAGAGATGGTTTATTGGCAACGAAGTATAGCTTTATTTTTCTGAACTTTCAAGTAGGTACCTATTAAATTTCGCTGGTAAATTTGGAAGGAACTCAGATTCAACTGATAGTTGATTTAATATTGGAAATGACAACCATCATATACTTCCATACCCGAAGTCCGATCCTAGCTAGTCCAGTAAAAATTTCAACTTAATTCCAAATTGTCAGACAAGATAATAGATACCTACGATAGATACCTTCCATCATTTTCCGAACATCGAACATTATACTGTGATTATTGTTTGAATTTATTTTACCAGAAAATTATTTCCTAAGATTAGGCGTTAGTTTTTGCGACATTTACTAATCATTCTCCATTCTCTCATGCCCAATTCGAAAGTTTGTCGACTCAGTGCAAGATTTTCGCCGCAGGTCCCTCCCCATATACACCAGCCCCAGTTGTCTAGTTTTGCCCTGTAGGTGGATTTGCTAAACGCGTTCCACCAAACGAAACTGCCGTTCGTGATCATTGGCCTTGTCACTGCCGTGTAAAAGCCAGTGGACTATGTGGGCATGTAAGTCCCAGGTTCGTCCGATAGATCTTCTTCAGGCCCAAAGGCTAGCAGTGGCTCTCTAGGCAACCCTGTTGATGCGATCTTTCCAGGTCAGCCTGGAATTAATGATGACTCTAAGATATTTGACCGATAGGATCGAGCGAGTCTCGATCCAAAGAGCGTGAGCCCTCCCAGGACTGCGTTTATTCGCTTTGTGAATGGTACCGTCAAACTGGGTGACTTGAGACGGCCGGACGAGTTGAGACAAAACTTTTGAGGAAACCAAATATATACCTGGCAATAATATATCCGACGCATTTGGGCGCCAATCGTATTTATTCAACTTAAGGGTTGTCAATACTTGTTATAGTAATGTTTGGACCACCGCGGAAGCGATAAGTTAATTTTAGTGCATTTTTTTACGCAATTATGTAATTGTTGAACTAAAAAATTGCTGAATAACTTTGCATACTGTCTCTATACTGTCTAGGACTGCTTATTGAAACTTTACTCAGAAATAGATTGATATTTTGTGCATCTTCTGGAGTATAATTGCTATTTTTCCATCCTTAATAGTATATACGTTACTTTCCCTTTTCAAGACAAAAAAAAAATACATATGAAAAAGTAGAATGGCGGTTGAGGGGTTTCTTGCCGTAGGGGCTTTCTAATTATGGGAAACGACTTAAAACGTTTAGTAAAGTCGTAAATATGGACGGAGTGATCAAAAATTATAGAAAAATAACTTGCCTGGAAAAGATTAGGTCCGATTTTTTTTGAAGAGACATTTTCATATTTCAAGCACTCGTTGGTGTGACAATATCAAACCTACTAGCGCTAGGAGTCAATAGCCATCTTTTAAAAAACGTCTCTTTTGTCTCAAGTGATCCTTTTGGTTTGAAACATGAGCAAAAGCTTGAAATACAGGGTGGGCCACTGAAAACTTACAATGGCTATAATTTTTGAACCAAAAAAGATATCAAAAAAATAAAAAATACGGTTTTTATAAAATCAAGGCAGAATACACATGACATATTTTTCAAACCACCCCTTAGGCGCCACCCCTACTCGCTTCAAAATCTTTAATGGCAACACCCCACTTGTGGCACCTTTTTGGAAAGCTCATGAAAAATGCTAAACGATGGTCATAAAATTTTTAGGGTGACATTGGAAAACTACCCGTCAAATGAAAAAAATTGGTAGAAATAAATTTTACAAAAAAAAAGAATTTTTAGCATGAAATTAGAGATAGGAAATTGAAGCGACTCAGCTAAATTCAACTTACGTATTTTTCAAATCACTGCGACCCACCCCTAGGCGCCACCCCCACTCATTTCAAATTCTAAGATTGCGGTACCCTACTTGTGGCACCTCTATGGAAAGCTAATTGAAAATGCTAAACGATGGTCACAAGGATTTCAACCTAAATTAAATTACGGCTAAGTAGTGATTAAGAAATGTAGGTGTGACATTTTGAAAAATAGGAACCAAATTAAAAATGATCTAGATAATTTATTTTAACATTTTCCACCAATCCACAAATAAGAAGTTGCGGTAACGCAAATTCTTCCTTATCAGCTATTTGTTTACTTTTCTATAGCAACCCGACCCACAGCAACAAAAAAAAAACAAAATGCATTACTTACTGTCTTCTATCATTTTTCAAATCATTATTTTTCAAATTTAGTGACGATAGTTTCTACCTTTATTTAATTTACTTAGTTAAAACTTCGAAAAATGGTTTATAGTGTGGAAGAAAGAATTGAAATAGTTTTTCTTTATGGTGCTGAAGGTAGGTGCTATTTGAGAACAGCCCGTGCTTTCAATAAGAGAAATCCGGACAGAAACGTTAGTCACATTTATGTTAGGGATTTGATCCAAAAGTTTCAACGAACGGGATCGGTCAAAAATCAAAAAAGGGTAGGGCCCAGGGTACTGAATGAAGAAATGCAAATCGAAGTTATTGGTCAGGTGTCGGTCAATCCAGAAGCATCAACGCGCCAGTTGGCATCAATAACAGGCATACCCCGAACATCTGTCAGAAGAGTATTAACAATGCACAAATTCCACCCCTACAAAATGAAAATTCTGCAGGAACTTGGGGACGATGATCCAGATAGAAGGATTCAGTTCTGCGAACTAATGACGGAGGAAATTCGAAGGCAACCTTCACTCACTAAAAATGTTTGTTTCAGTGATGAGTGCTCGTTTTTGCTAAATGGAAATGTGAATAAACAGAACTGCAGATACTGGAGCGATGAGAATCCCCATATTGTTGTTGAAGGACATACCCAAAATCCCCAAAAGCTCAATGTTTGGTGCGGAATACTGGGCGATAAAATAATAGGTCCATTTTTTATCGACGGAAATTTGACGGGTGCTGTTTATGTGGAAATGCTGGACAATGCGATAAAGCCGGAAATTGTAAATGAGGTTGAAAATCAAAGAGATTTGGGAGGAAATTTGAATCTTGATGAAGACATCATACACTTTCAGCAAGATGGAGCCCCTCCGCATTATGCTATTGTCACAAGGCGGTGGTTAGATAGATTTTATCCAAGGCAATGGATTGGCAGAAGGGGTCCAATCGAGTGGCCGCTAAGGTCACCTGACCTCACTTCTTTAGACTTCTTTTTGTGGGGTTACATTAAATCCATAGTCTACAAGACAAAACCAGCTTCGTTGCAAGAATTGCGGCAGAGGATAATTGAGGCATGTCGAAACATTCCGAGAGAGATGTTCCAGAAAGTGAGAGAAGAATTTGAATGTCGTTTGTATTTTTGTATGAAACAAAACGGCTGTCATTTTGAGCAATTGTTAAAATAAATTATCTAGATCATTTTTAATTTGGTTCCTATTTTTCAAAATGTCACACCTACATTTCTTAATCTCTACTTAGCCGTAATTTTCTTAGGTTAAAATCCTTATGACCATCGTTTAGCATTTTCAAATAGCTTTCCATAGAGGTGCCACAAGTGTGGTACCGCAATCTTAGAATTTCAAATGAGTGAGGGTGGCTCCTAGGGGTGGGTCGCAGTGGTTTGAAAAATACGTAATTTGAATTTAGCTGGGTCGCTTCAATTTCCTATCTCTAATTTCATGCTAAAAATTCTTTTTTTTTGTAAAATTTATTTCTACCAATTTATTTGACGGGTAGTTTTCCAATGTCACCCTAAAAATTTTATGACCATCGTTTAGCATTTTTCATGAGCTTTCCAAAAAGGTGCCACAAGTGGGGTGTTGCCATTAAAGATTTTGAAGCGAGTAGAGGTGGCGCCTAAGGGGTAGGTCGGGGTGGTTTGAAAAATACGTCATGTGTATTCCGCCTTGATTTTATAAAAACGGTATTTTTTATTTTTTCAATATCTTTTTTGGTTCAAAAATTATAGCCATTGTAAGTTTTCAGTGGCCCACCCTGTATATGGTTGTCTCAAGTAACCCAACCGTAGCGTCTGACATGAGTCAGTCAAAAAAAAACTAAAAACCCTAGGTAACTCGTTATTCACATAAAACTCAACTTATAAAACCGATTCTACGGGTTAAGACTCAACTTTTGACGTGTTTAAGTCATCGCTAAGTTAAATAGTTTCGAAAATATCGCTTGCTGAGAGTCAAAATCGTCTCAAGCCACCCGATTTTACGGTACCTACTTACTTCGGTCTTGTCCGGCTTCATTGGATATATCAGTCTAGTCAGTCTATATCTGTTACCATTTCCGAGATCCCGATCTCAATGGTTGACCTCGAAAAACGTAGGTACACCATGTCTGATAGTATTTTCATAGGTACTTACCTTCCTTAAGTCAGATTTAGAAATAACAAAAACACAGAAAGATTTCACCTTATTTATAATTTTGTAAAAATGGTGAATGCGCACGTTTGAATTAAAAATACTAAAAAATTACCCGAGGCTTGCTTTTTTAACGACTTTTAGATCAAAATTTGGGCGTGCATCCAAGAAAAAATCGCGGGGCACCTGCGGTGGGCTTCCCCCCCGGGTGTGCACCACCAACTTGTACTTTAACCAGCCGCCACTGTAAGTAGGTACCTATACCTCTACCCTACCTACCAAAATTTTGAAAATTTTGATTTTTTTGCCGAAAGGAAATAATATGTTTTTTATTACCCTTATTGCTATGGAGGTTGGTTAATTAAAATGAATTTGATGGGCAGCTTATTTGACGTCGGGTCAGCCAATCAGAAAGAAGTCGCGAGCTGAACACGCTCGGTGAAAAAAGTAAAACTAAATTTTATCAACAATGGAGCCTAGGAGACAAAGTAATAAAAAAAACTTAATATAGCTGAAAATACCGCCGCTGTTTACCAAGTTCTAAAAATCGCTCGGATCTGTTAATTTAGTTC